AGAATCACCAAAAGAAAGGAAAAAACCTTGAACTCCTGCAAAAAATTCCAAGAATCCGAAAAGCTGTAAACACCAAAATACAAAACCTTAGCATTTGATTCTAGCATCAAAACTCCATTGTTTCTTGACTAAAATCATCCCCACAGTTGTTGATTCACATATTAGAAGTTATTCTAACTTCTGTATTCATACTACCATACACTCTCCATTCACCTCCACCTCAAAGAAATCAGAATCACATATTAGAAGTTATTCTAACTCTGTATTCATACTATCAACACTCTCCATTCACCTCCACCTCAAAGAAGTCAGAATATCACCCCTTGGCTGTTCCAGAAGTTGAAAACTTCCATCCTGCTGAGTACGTGAAGAAGTTGCTCAGAACATCACCAGAGTTCAGGACCAACCTCCAATTCACAGAATCCTCTTCCAGCTGCAAGATAAGCTTCTGCTGACCTCTCACCACATTACTTAAGCATTACCAGATTTGCATGTTCAAAAATACAATGTAGACATCATGTTTTTGACGTTGTACATATTCTGAGGCTTCACGTATTTGTCTGCCTAAGTATGGAATAATCAGTTAGAACTACTGGAAGAAATTAGAACTCAGAATTAGGATTAGCAAATTCATGCTTGCCTCTGATTTATAGTTCTGATATTTCTTGTTTCTAAAATGCTATGAAACCTGCCATAACTGTCATATACACATCTTCTGTTCTGTTGAAAAATGACTAAGTTGTAGATGTTCTGACTAGCATGGAAAGAAGAGACCAAGTTCTGTCAGTGGTATCAGAACTTCCTGAAATCTACTTGCCGCTGGTGGGTATCAGAACTTCTGAAATCCACTTTGTTGCCGGTGGTGTCAGAACTTTTGGAAACTAATGTGTTCCCAGTGGACTCAGAACTTCTGACTTCACCTATTTTTTTCACTAACATGATTTCTGTTTTGCAGTACGCCAGAGTCAGAACTTCTGACCTCCCTTAATCAGCAATACGTTGATTCTATTTTTTCCTTTTTTCTCACTATTTTTGCTATCACTTTCTATTTCATTAATCAACAAACACCAAAAACATTTTTTTCATGCTTTATTTTATTTCTTAAAACAAAAGACCAAAAAATATTTTCTTAAACAAAACTTATTTCTTTTCTTACTTAAATAAGTAATTTACGTTTCTTGCACATTCTGATCTATTTCGATATGGTTGTAATAGTAACTTAGGATTTAATTTTACTTGCAACCCCATTCATAAATATGTACCCCCATCCCCCTAAAACGATGTAATAGCTTAGATTTTATTTTTCGCATTTTTACTTGCTTTTCATATATTGCTAGTAAATAGGATGTATGGCAAGACATGAAAATAACAAAATAGACAACCCTAATCAAGATTAAAATGCATGCAATCAAACACACTTGCACACTAGAACCCTTAGGGTAATCTCATTTTGTTGCCTATCGGAAAATAGTCATGTCCCTCAAACATGGGCGTTTTAGCAAAGACCCTCGATAAAAGATCGTAGTCCCTCGATGACCCTCGATGTTGCCTTTGGTAAACGATAGACGATTATAAAATATATTGATATTATAAAATTAACAAAAATATTATTATTAAATGATAGATGATTTTGATGCTAATGAATCGAATATGAAAGAAATAAATATAAAAGAATAAATAAAGAAAAATATGGTCATATGAAAGAAATAAAATATTATTTGTATAATAATGGAGTAAAATCTTGTCATAATATGTAAATTTTATAGAATATGTTTTAATTTAAACATGTATCATTATTAAAATAAGGGTTAAATATATTTTTGATCCTTATAAATATCTCAAATTTCATTTTTCTTCCTTATTAAAAAATTAACATGTTTTAGTCCTTATAAAATTATTATGCACGTAGTTTTAGTCCTTGTTGTTAAATCAATGTGTATTTTTGAATGACTATTTTTTAAACATGTTTAAAACGTTATAAAAAGTTTTTCGAAAAAAAAAACTAAAAATTTGATTTCTAAGTAGAAATTTTTATTATTTTTATCATTATCTTTTGAAATTTAAAAATTTTATATTTAATTTTTCTAATTTTAAAAAATTTTAAAATTTGATTAAGAAATATTTTATAATATTCTAAACATGTATGAAAAATATTATTCAAAATTTTAAAATTTTAAGGGTAATTAAAAAGTTTTTAAAATTATAGAAAATAGCAGGGACTAAAGTTGCATGAACACAAATTTAATAGGGATCAAAATTTGTTATTTTTTTAATAGAGACTAAAAATGAAATTTAAGATATTTATAGGGATCAAAAACATATTTAACCCTTAAAATAATTTAAAACTTTAATTCATATACTATCAAAAAAATGTAAATCCCTTTAAAACCAATTGCATATACTATGTGCACAATCAACCCAACATTATTAAGTTTGTATCTAAAAAAACATAATAATGAATAATAAAAAAATTTATAGACAACTCCTAATAAAAAGAATTTATATGAAAGTAAATTGGTGGTTATTTTGAAGAAATTGATAGTTAGTAGTGAGTGATGTGTTTTAGTTGATTAACTTTTTAATTAATTAATAATAAAAAATAAGAGATGATAATGAAATTAGTCGAATAAAATTTATTATTAATTTTAATTTAATATTAATTTATTATTATATTTTTTGATAATTATGTGGAAGTTACAAATCTTAATTTAGAAAAAATTTAAGTTATAATCAACATAATAAATATTTTAAGGAATAAATATTTTTTTAAATTTTTTTATAAAATAAAGTATTAAATTATTAAGTTTATTAAAATTTATTAAATTTAATAAAAAAATTAATTAATCATTAATAGAAAATGAGAAATGATAATGAAGTTAGTGGAATGAAATTAGTGAAATTTATTATTAATTTTAATTTATTATTATATTTTTTAATAATTGTCTGAAAGTTGAAAATTTTAATTTAGAAATATTTTAGGAAGTTTTAATAAATGTAATATATTTTTTAGGAAATAAATATTTTATTAATTTTTTTATAAAATAAAGTATTAAATTACTAAGTTTACTAAAATTTATTATATATAATAAAATAAATATACAGTTTGTGAAAGTAAAATTAATTTATAAATTTAATTAAAAGTTTATTATTTTAAAAAATTAATTAATTAATTAAAATAAAATAAAAGAACATTATTACCACATATTATATTTCAATTTCAAATTTTATGAAAAAATGACAATTAATTTTATTAATTGTGGAAGTTTTAAATTTAATAATAAATAAATAAATGAAAGGGAAGTTACAAAATTTAACCTAAAATTTTTTACTCTAAGAGACTTAACAATATAAATTTTTTGAAAATTTTTTTTAAGATTAAAAATATGAGTTTTTCTTAATGGCATATTTTATTTATACAAAACATAGAGTAAAAAGATATATGTTAATGAAAAT